TAATTTTGAAGCAACTCGCTCAACTTCTCGATATTGTCGTTTAATTATATAAGCGAGTAAGTTCAAATGAAAAGTTCGAACTATTCTTAAGGATGCTTTAGCTTCATCATACATAACGAGATGACTTTGTTTTAATTACGTTTGATAGTCAATTTCGGGGAACCTTTTTGAAATTTGAGACAAGGTTTTCGATTCAAGATGAGTCCCTACAAGTAAAGCCTAGACGTGGGAGATGTCCCGACAATTGTCAGTTAGTCTTCGATCTTATCGCAATACACGTCGAGCAACCCCTGATTTTAATGATTCCGTATAACTTACTTTAGTGGGTACATGCGTAGACCTTTCTCCATGCCAGGACAATATGAGAGGAAGGCAGCCAAAATGGTTTCAAATACTAAACCGAAATTCAAGGCCCAATTCCTCATGCCCTGTTGGAATATTGAATTTCGTCGCGTCTTACAAATGATTAGATCAGCCCATTGTACAACGACAATCGATACGAAGAATGCAGTATGGCACGTGTATTCCAAAGTTTTGCGATCCCGATATGTCTTAAAACGCAAAAAGATTATCAACAAACAAATTTCACAACAAGTCCTTGTAATTACAAACACTTACCCATTCTTGACCGTAAGAATCAGTTAAATCATTTACTGCTTTGGAATCCCACATTTTTCGTATACCGAATAGTTTCAATGGCAAGAAACCATTCTCAGCCATTATAACGAAATATACAAAGAAACCTGCAGCCGCTTGTATCATACCGATTTGTCCATAAGCCATTGAAATTAGTCTAATTTCAATGGGAATTTCAAGGAAAAAAATTGTTGTAAATCTTAATTGTAATTAACAAGATTTCATTACATTTTAGGTAATGTGTTATGATAGGTATTTGTGAGAGACAAAATTTAGCATGTATTTTATTTATCGTTTTTTAAGGGAAAAATCTTCTTGAAGGATCCTTTTGGTAAACTTCACACATATCAATTTAAATTTGGTTCGTTTTTCGTATTGTTTTAGGGTAAGAGGTTCATGAGCGCATATTTCACGTAACTTAAGGCCTTGAGGTTACGTAGATATATTTCATTGCAATTCTATTAATCTATCAAAACCCATTCAATCGCAAAACATTGTAAATTAAGCTTTTTGTTTTTGGTTAATTTATGTTAGAGGAGCAAACGCAAAAGCCTATTTACGATCATTTAAAATCGTTACGATAAAGGAACAATTAAATATGTTGCCAAAAAATGGACTAAACGCAGGCTGTCGATTAAGTACAACCTGAAATAAACGGAATGCAGCATTTAAATATGGCCTGACCGATATTAATGATGATTTGTATTGAGGACATAAGGGACCTGCATTTACTCCCGAAAGAAATTTTTGATCTGACTGCGGTCAAAAGCACTTACATTTGATCACCTATAAATGACTCTTGCGAGAAAGCTATTGAAACGACAAAGTTCGTTTAATCCTTGATAAAAGGTAATCCTAACGATCGCATTGGCATCATGCTTTCTTCAAAGGAAGGAAGTAGATCTTACTTTTTAAAGCATAATAATAAATGAAACTTGGGATGACTACTATGATCTTCAATTATGATATAAAAACCGTGCAAGAAGCTCGACTTGGCTGCTCAACTCCAAAAGGAACAAAGCGATCAAAGTTGTTAAAAAGATAATGGCAAACATTTTTTAATATATGACACCTAATTGGAATTTGGTTGACTACGAAACCTTAACTGGAAACTATTGCTAGAAACTATTAGAGAGAAAGAAACCCGTTCTAGCGAAAAACGAGATAGCGTTTCATTCATAGAGATATTTTTTTACAAATGAAGAAATTACACTACAAGAGGCATCCGTTGCTATGTTTTAAAGAAATTGTTAAAATATCTTGCACTCCCTTTAAATGAAAAAGTTGCTTCACCCATAGACCAATAATTTAAAGGACTTAGAAAAAATTAAGGTTCAGAAATGACTTAAATTGAATTGAAAATCTTTTGAAAAGAAGCTTTTAAGCTGCGAAGTTTCTGAGTGAAACCGTGAATGTACAGAAAACCTCTATTTACTTTCAACATCTTCTTTTTTGCTGCATATTCTTTTATGTTCCCACTATATGTATCAACTATACACCGTAAGAACCAGTGTTTACGCATCGCGGCTAAGATTTGTATATCTGCTGTTGAAAGAATAACTCTAACTTCAATATAAAAGAAAAATCTAAACGTTTACTTATGTGGCCAAGAGGTTAAAAAACATTAAATCCAGTTGTGGGTATTTATTGTAGCCCGGTTATAAGTCGTTTCAAATAAATGCTAAATTTTTTAATTTTTTTGAATAAATTTTAATAACATTTAATATATTATATATATATAAATATATATATTTAAGGATTGATTGCTGTAATTTAGTTTTTATTAAAGAATATTTAGTTAATGTTCACTTTTGGAAGAAGTTATGAATGAAAAGTATGTTGTTTTGAATGGAATTTAATTTTTTTTTTCTTTTCAAGTTATTGGTTGAATTTTTAAAAGCTTTGTTGTTAATGAAGGCTTATGCTTGGGAAGCTGTGTTGGATATATTTTTGTCAAATTACAAATGCGTTGCAAAGCGTTAAGTGCCAGCATTTACAGATAGAACACAATTAATTATTTGTTTTCTCTTTTCTTTTGGTAATTTTTTTTAGGTGTCGAATATGGGTTTTTATATAAAAAAAGCAAAGCACTTTTTCATAATTTTTTTTTTTTTTTATAAATAAATGTTTTGCGAATTACTAGAGAAAAGATATATACAAGCAATGAATATGAAACGTGCACAGAAACAAAGTGAAGGAAGAAAGCACATGCACTGCAAGACACAAAAAAGGCAGAATCGCATGCGTTAAAAAAAATAATAATAATAAAAAAAAATATCTCAATTTGACTTACTTACGCTTAGATTTAGTTTTACGAATACTTTTTATATGGGATTAAATTTAAATAAAATAATAATATACATATATCTTATATATATACATATAAATATATGTATATTTGCATATGTATATATATATATAGTAAATTATAATATAATATATATCGCAAAAATTTTTTTTTGAAAATAATTGGTATAATTTTTTGTGAATTACCTAATATTTGTGAAAATATTTGTATAAAAAAAAAGCTTTAAACAAATTACTACTATATAAGGAGAGCAACAGTTTTTCGAATAGTTTCATAATATATGAAAATAATTGATTGACCTTAAAAATTTTTTAAAAATATTTTAAGTACATATCGTGAGAAACCATACCAACCTTTGCCAGTTTACAGTGATCAAAAGTTGTAAACTTTTTTCAAAATAATTGATCGTAATTATAGAAAACAAAATGATTATATAAGAAAGCTATATTCGCTTTAAAACGAATCTTAGATACCCATCACTTCAGAAATAGATATATAACAAGTCTTCTGACTCCGTATTCGTACCTTAAGAGGTAACTCACAAATTTTGATAAATTAGCAAGTGCGATGCCTGAGATTATTTTTCTGATCCGTAATAACTATTCAGAAGTTGTAGTTGATGTAGAAATGTTGTAGAAATGTTAGCGGTTGCAAGCCACGAATTGTTCGCATAAAATATATAATCAACTTTCCCATTTTATCCTACAGATCATCGCCTGAGTGTCTTCACATTTTGTAGGCAAATTTTGCCTCCTTTTTAAAATTAAACTTTTGTTTGCTAAAAGGGGATAAAATGATATCCTTTTCAACTTTATTGTTGTGATTGCAAGCTGCCAAAAGAGAAAAGGACCGTGGGATAGACACAACCAAACTTAGATTTATACAATAACATCGATAGGTTTTTGGTTTGGCTATTCTCGGCGATGGAAGGGATGAGAAAACTCTTTCATTCTTGGCTGATGAGTATGAATATTAAAAAAAATTAAAAATTTTTTGTTTTTATTTCATCTATTTCACTACTGTGTTATTATTGTTTATTTTTCTCTAAGTCTTCTACAATAAAAGCTGTTGTCTTATTTTACCTAAAATAGACGACTACATATTCTATAAAATGCAGTTTTTGCTCTAAGTGTAGTAATTTGTATTATTTATTTATAAAGCAAATGAAGTAAAGCTTAACTAATCATCACCTAAAGTCTAAGAAATTTTGCTTTCATTTATTTTAAATAAATACTGTACGGGAGTTGCTCGATATGTATCGCAATGTTAGAATCGATCCTAACGTTAACAGGAGTCACCTTTAAGGTTTCGATAGCAAAGTTTGACGTTTTCTACAGCATGTGTTTTTAGAGGATCTTCTCGTAAGGCTCCCTTTCCATTTCTGTTTTAGGTATTCTGTTGTAAGTTATAAAGTATAATCAGAAAGTTGTCTGTCATACGTTGGCAATAGAGAGCAAATTAATATTTACAGTAAAGCAAGTAGTCAAGCGCGCTTAAAGGGCTGATTGCGAAACCGCTTTTTGCCGAACTGCAATAGACGTTCAGTGGATTGTTATAACTAACGTCATCGAAGTGCCAATGGATCTGCCAAACTTAGTAGGCGACACATCTCTACGATAATTTGATTATCGGAAAGATTATAATAAATAAGTCTTTTCGCAGAACGCGTTACCACTTGACAGTTTGCCGCGTTTATATATCGAGCAATTCCCGACCTTTCAATTCGAACTCACGAGTTTACTTGTGTAGTAAGCAATTAAAACTTTTTTTCTTTGTGAGTTTTATGACATTTTTCAAAAGTTTTGGTTCTTTTTTTTAGACACTTTTCATTATAATATTTATATTATGGATAATGATAGTATATATACGTGTCATTTATGTTTTTTTTTTTTTTTCAAAGCATAAAATGAACGAACCACCAACTATTGGAAAACATAAACAATCTTTTGAAGTATTTATGCTAGTATGTTTTGTGTACGAGTGTTTGTATATGGATGCCTTTTGTAAAAAAAGAGACTGAATAAATATTGGATAAGAAATAAAGCATAGAAATTTCTGGTAATAAGAATGAATATTAACCAAAATACAAACGAACAACGTAACGATATTTTTTCTTTTCTTTCTTGCATTGAAACGGCAAAATCTCAATCACACAAAAACATACAATTAATATGAATTTTAAAGAAAATGCAACACAAAAAATAATACGATCTTTACTCACGCATACAATACAAAAATAATTATTATAAACCGTTACAAGTCCGTAATGAGCGTCATTGTACCCTCACCTATGATGGAAGGAAGGATAAAATTTAACAGTTGGGAAAGAGAATCTACATGGAACTCGCGAAATAAATTAGATTCTAATGCGGCAGTGCTTGGTTCCCTAACGTTTTGTTCCTTCACTGTAGATTCACCGTTCTTCTGAATTCTCCGTAAACTCGAAAAAACTACTTAAATTAATTCGGCGGAAACAGTGAAACCGGGTCGCTGTGTTCAATAAAAATTTCAAAGCGTTTTAGTTTGCAAACATCGTCTATTTACCTGGTTTGATATGTCTAAAATGGTTCAAATTCGTTGAATTGGAGGTCTTAGTTGGCATGTATTGGATTATTCGAAAAATAATTTCCTTTTTTTTCGATCAAATGATTTCATTGCGTTTTTCCATAAGCAACAGTGCACTTTAGTCTTAATGCTGATACAGCGAAAAAGGTTTGTTTGTGCTTGATTGTGCACAGTAGTTTTTGTCTCGTATTCTATCATATATGAAGAGAGTCGGAACGAATATTTTCAGCGTGTTTTGCTTTTTAACACTATCGAAATTGTGAAGACACCGCTCAAATAAGAAAAGAATTATTGGATAAAGACAGCGCGCCACTGTAAAATCTAGTTTGCAAAATTTCTTTCCGTTGAAGATGCATCAAATGCATTTAAAGGCCAATTGATGCCAAATAGTGAAGAACAACTTATGCGATCGCCGAGGTCCTAAAATTTATCGAATTCTACTGTTCGTGATGACGGGAACCGTCTTGATTGTTCCTTTTGTCCAATAATAACGAAATATCTTTTGGAACTAACCATATTTTCAAAGATTATTTGAACCTCACATGGTCAAGAATGACTTTTTAATTATTGTCACAGACGTATCTGTGCGATGAATGGTATTCGAGTGTCCAGCTAGCACGCAAGTGTACCTTACATGGTTACTGGCAATTATTGCCATTGCGTTCTGCCAATATAAGTTTTAACCGATCGTGCTTATTTAAACGTTTGATATCTGTTTCTGAATTAAGCCTGAAGTCATTACTAGGAGTTCATCTCTCAGTTAATATATAGTGCCGTGTCCAAAAATTAAAACCGATCTACTTTTTTTCTTTTTCCAATCTATTTATTATTTCGTCGATTTCAAAGTAATCAACGAACTCAAATAATATTCCTTGGTAACCATTAACCGTTAACCGCGCGAAAAGAATGCGTAGTGCACAACATAACGATAATCGGAAAAAACCGTTAACCTTACTTTATTTTTGAGCGACTTTGGATGGATTTTTGCGATCTTGGCTCATATTTTGCACGATATTCCGTCGATTTATGGGCTGTTTTCCAATCGTAACCATAGTTCTAAGTCTCGTATACCATAATATAGCCTTTCATGACGCCCTGGTAGGTGAAAATGATTCCCACACAGCCATTGGAAAAATTTGGAAAAAATATTTTTTGTGTGGTACAAAATCAAGCATAGCTTGACTGAATGACGTTTATGACGTGAAATTTGTCACAGATATATGTTAAAGTGTAGCAGTTTGGATATTGGTTTTACTTTTACGTCACAGTATTATATTTTTAATTTTCGCTTAATTAAGTTGGAAGACATTATATACAAGATTCGATTTTTGTTTCTCTTCCAAACACTCAATCAAACCTAAGCTCTAATTACATGTGAAAATTCATTTAATATTCGCACCCTTGTACTGAAACAGATGTGAGGGTACACGTGTAAAAAAATAAACATTTCTGTATTGTGAGCAACATTGGAGTTATTGGTTGTGTTTGTGTTGTTATTGTTGTTGTTGCCGCTGCTGTGATTGCTTTGTGTAATTTTGTAAAATAATTTTCTTTTGTAAATTGCATTGAGATCTGATTGATATTTCTTTTGTATTGCTATTGTTGTTATGACATCATAGAATTCTACGAACAAGGCATACTCGAAACAAACACACACTACAACAGCACATAAATAATTTATGAATATTTAACTTTTGTTTTGTTTTTTATTTTTAAACTACAAATTTTATTTAATTCATTTTTGGTAAAAAAAGGGAAACTCTACATTTTTTTTTTTTTTGTTCTGACCTGCGATTAACCAAATTGTCACGATAAGGATCACGAGGCTGACGTTTCATTATATCGCTTTCCGGTTGCTCATAGGCAAGCGAAATGGCCGGTACCTTTGATTGATTTATGTATATGATTGAAGGGAAATACCAAACAGTTTTTATGTGTTTTTTTTTTTAGAAGTTAAAAAAATTTTTTTTAGATTGTTTTAAAAGTGCAAAGGGTATATATAAGTATATTAATAATTAATAGAAGAAGAAGAGAGAAATTGAAAGAATATTTTATGTAAAAATAAAAACAAAATCGAAAAAATATTTCTAGAAAAAAAAATACATAAATAATTCTTTAGATTTGATCACTAAGCAAGAAAGTTTTACACGCCTGAAGGCGAATCGTTTATACCCACCACGCGAAGCTTAGCGGCCCTTTCAATGAGCTGATTTTTACTGTTTTATGCGAATAGATTTTTAAATGCAAATTGTAAGTCAACATCCGAGAAAGGTTTTGACTGCAAAGGAAGTATACATAACTTGTTAAATTTTTCGTTGAATCAACACCAATTGTGTCTGCAAAAAACGATATCAATTGCTTATGTTTATATATCCACTGCCAGAAGCAGTTACATAGAATGGAAAAAGTTTTGTTAATCGGACACACGAGCTGTTACGCGTGTATGACAAAAACCGTATGTACTTTACAGAGCGTCTTATGCCTGATCCGGGACATCACAAATGGATGACTAAAAGTAGTACGCATATGATTAGGCTTTGGTGGTGGTTATAAATAGAAAAAAAAATTTAATAATAGAAGAATTTCGCTAAAATTGTTATAAGATTTTCGTTTCAATTATAAGTAAATCTACTCTAAGTATATGTACGTTGAGATAGTCTTAAGGAAAAGTTTAATAATAGTGTTATTATAAATGTTATTTAAAAGTACGTTTTTGAGCAGAAACATTTACCATAACCACAATAAATCTAAAGGTAAACAAACATGTTTTCGCTTTGTTTTTGGTTTTCTTGTTTTCTCTTATTTGATTTATATAATTCTGTGTTGGGTGTCTCAGGTGTAATGTTATATATAATCTTTTTTGAACGATTCTACATTTTGATCCTTTTAACAAACTAGCACAAGGTTTAAGATACTAATGAACAACATTTTTATCAATATTTTGTTTTTTTATGTTGCATTAATGTTCATTCACATATAACCATTACATGATGTTTATTACGTGTACCTAGGAAAACTACTGGGATTCGCTTTTTGTTTGAAAACACTACTCAAGTGTTTACTTATTTTCTTATCCTAAATCATTTAGGATTTAGAAAAATGTGTTCGTATTAAAAAAAAAAAAACCAAAACTAAAAGATTAAATAAACAATTTTTTCTAGATATTTACTCAAAAAAAGCCCTTAATAGTTTGCAACTTACCTTAGTTAACAATATAAAAAAAAAAAAAAATTCAACGAATTGCTAAAACATTTTCATGAAAAATTAGTAAAATCCGCTTTATATCCCATTTAAAGTATTTTAGAACTGTTCTTAGTCAGTTATTGCTGATCCTTGGGTTAGTGTAATAAGTACAGAAAAGGCCGCTATACCGTAAAACGGCGCGTTTTAACTTACTGGATCAGCTCAAACGGAGCAGATTCACTTGAAAAAATTCGTAAACTTTTTCTTTTGGTTTCGGTAACAGAAATCAGCTGCGACTGAATTTAAAATCATCTCCATTCACCTCTATACGCAATCAACTCAGTCGAGGAAGTAAAGATTCAACCATTTGCAAGAGTTCGCCTTGATCATACCATGATTGCAAACCGATGGGTTCTCAAAATCCTATTCTTCAAATTTGCGATTGTGGACAAAATTTTGCAATTAAATATACCATCTTATCAAAGCAAAAACTTTTCGAAAATTCGTCGTCGGAGCCCTCAGTTTTTTGGACATGTTGAAAGTACCTGAATAGCAGATCAATAAGATATTTGACTTTAATAGATCGAATAAATTAACCAAAGAACACAAGAAGGTCCCATAGTCTGGGCTGTTAGCGCTCATCCTACTTTCTTAGTCCCTTAGTTTATTTCTTTGGTCTGAAAGAATTATAATGATTGTAATAAAATAACTTTTATGTTTTTTTTCTTTGCTTCCTAATAGCTGCTAAAAGCTCTCAAAGGTAGGCAGCTTTATATAGCCATGAAGGCCCACAAACAGCTGATTTTATAAAAATAACAAGGTGGTGCAAAAAAGGGGTTACCAGTTTTATACAATTGGTTTATTGAACTGGCACATAACACCATTGTGTCGATAAATCGCAGAGTGATCTACGGACTTTCAGCTCTAACATCAGCAAATCGACCCATTAGGTTTGACCAATGCATGAGCATTTTGCTATCAAAAGAAAGTTGTGATCTAAACAAAAAATAGGTAGTGGAGTAATATGGCAACATTTTGTCCAATACTGCACACACTGCACATTGTGTAGCGAAGGTAAGCCTACATTGGATAAATTGACGACACATTTGTTAAATTATTCACGCATTTAGCAGGCCCACCTCCGCCCCCCGACTACCATTTGTTGGCAAAAACTAACAAATTGCTGCTTGACGAATGTTTTTTTCGCAAGTGAAATATATATATATATATAGTTAAAATGCAAAGTTTTTGCTATTGTTTTGGGAAAATAAATGAATGAATGAATAGACGTTCTTATGGAAAATTATTTAAGGCAACTATGGAAACTTGAAATGCTGGATATAATGCGTGCACGAAACGTTTTAACAATTCTTTTTTAATCTCATTGCAAAAAAACAATCTTTTTCAAAATTAAATTAAGCATAGATGAAATTTATATAAATATATGCTATTTAAGGGACTAAAAAGAGAGACAAAGAGAAAAAAGGTCAAGCAATAGTACATATTGTTTACGTGATTCAAGGAGCTGGGTCTTAGTGAAGTAAAAGGCGCATACCAAAAGGATTTTAATTAAAATATATATATGGATATATATGTATGTTAATAGGTGGCATAGAGAGACTAGCAGCCGGGAAAAACGATTAATATATTTAGTAGTAGTTTTTCTTTGTGTTTCTAATAAGTATTTTTTTCTTTGTGGTTTAATATATGAAAGTTTATTTATAAATTAGTATATAAGAATAAATATTCGTGTATATATATCTCACTTTATATATGTATATGCACTTATATATTATAGAAGAAAATATATGTATGCTAGCAGAGTAAATAGGTTTTTTTCTAAGATTATATTTTGTCAACAACACACGTTTGAAATCATTTCATTTGAATATAAATGAAAAATAATAAAATTTGTTCTATTAGGCAAGTCGAAGAAATCGATTAAGGATTTCATCAAGAAATCAAATATGTTGTTTACGATTTCCGTTACGTGCCTAAATTGAGATTTAAAAGGAAAAACAAACAAATAAGAAGAAAAGCTATAATCGCTCGAAAGCGAAAGTTTCGAACCGTCCACCTTAGGTAAGTAAATGAAAAAGTTTGCGTTGTTTTCCTTATCGTAAAATTTGTTTCAGATCATCAATCCAAAAAATAATTATATGTTAGCAGTAGCTATTTCCTTCACCCAGGAGACGGTCCCTATGCGTATATGTTTGTCGCATAGAAAAAAAGAAAGGAAAGAGGGATAATGTACAGTCGCAAGCTAGGAGATGTACGTCCGACAACGTACAGCAAGATTGGAGTTAGCTTAGTGAAAAATCTTCATTTACCACGATCACCCTCAAAAACAATTTGAATGTGCTGGGTCATATAACTCATTCGGAGGTGGTTATGGGACGGAACAGACCCTCAGCAGTTACCTCAGCTTATCTTCATGTCTGTTAAAAAGACTCTAAGGACAAAGGTGCTCTTAGCCTTTTTTCTCCCCAACAGTGCTTTCGACAAAGAGGACTCACGCATGCTTAGACCAAGCTTTACAAATTTCTACATTAACTTCATTTCAATTCTTCAATTAAGGTAAATGTATCGACAACCCACCGGCTGACTAATATTTGAACTGACTCTTCATTACTCAAGATTAAGTGAGTGTAATTTAATGGTTCAAATATTGGGAATTTCCGGAACTTTAGCAAAGGACGGACCGACTAAAGATGACTCAAACGATTTGGGATCTTACGGGAATTTCTGATTATTGTAAACGCAAGAATAAATTAATGGACCTTCGGTGGAGAGCTAGGGATTATCTCAGAAACTTGTATTTAACTAAGTAATTGAAAAATATATTTCGAGTTGTTAAAAAAAAAAATTTAAATCAAAAATTAAGCAACGCAAGTAAACATTAAAAAACTTCTTTGTATTATGTTATTTAAGAAAATTGAAAAATAATAATTTTAATTGAAAGCTGTTTAATTTATTTTAAATAGTAGTTAAAAAAGTTTATATATTTAGAAAAACTTTAATAAAAGTTAATGTACTTTGCTTTTGTTTTCTAACGCGTAAGAGTTAAAGATTTAAAACGATTTAAAAAAAAAGTAATAATAGCTCTTTGGTGAAAAATATCATTTAAACCAGATTCGAAAATGGTGAGAGTGTTTTAAAAAAATTTTTTTATTCAATTTTTATTCTCTGAATTGAGTTGATATTGATAGGTTTGGAAAAGTAAGTAACATTTCATGATTTATATATAGAAAGAATTTCTATTCTTTTTTCAAGCCTAATTTTCTTTCATTTCCTATTTTTTATTTATATATATATATATAAATTGATGACACAAAGAAAAACTTTACCTTTCGTTGACCAGTTTATCACAAAATGGATTCCTGGGCTGACGTTTCATAATATCAGATTCGGCTTCTTCATAGGCAAGGGAAATAGCTGGTACCTAATTTGGCGATTTTTGGGTTTATTTTTTTGTTTTTTTTTTTTACGGATCAATGACGTCAAGGAATACAGTACATAGGTATATAATATACAGATTTGATTTTATACAGATTAGCAAAATTTATTTTCACACATATATATATGCATGTATTTTGATTGTTTTATGATGTATATGATAGCAAATGTGAATATTGTATATGTAATAAAAGTAATTATAATAATAATAATAATAATATAATAATAAGAAAAAATATAAAAAATATTTTTTTATTCATTTTAGATATGTCTTCGTAAATAATGTCGTAAATAATATTCTAAACCTAAACCCGCATCCTATACTTTTACATACATAACATATATAGAAATATACCTATTAATGCTTTCAAGGCATACTTATTGCATAAATCTACTCATACATATACATATATACATTAGAAAACATCTTGAATTTCCAAAATTTTTCAAATTCATTTAAATTGGGATATAAAACTTCGTCCATAGGACAAATATAAGTGTGTTTTAAAATGACATTTTTTTTACTAAAGCTAATTAGAAAACTATACGGGACAGGGGATGACATATTGTTAATACGAACGGGGATCGCCTCGGTTTAATAAGTACTGAAAGTCATAGACTTCGATGAAAATATATTGAAAAAATGTTTTTTTAATTTGTTGCATATGATTAATAACGGCAGTCGCGGAAGATCGATTGAGAAAGTTGACATTTTAATCTTCTTACATAATTTTTGCGAAATTTTTGGTTTTAAACAACAAACAGACAGACGGAAAAACGTAAACAAATTAGTGTGAATTAAATTGAATATCGTTCGAATAATTCTCATCATGTTCAATCTGCGACGGAATCCAAACCTGCCAATAATAGTTCAAGTTACTTTCAATATTCATTGCCCTGAGAAACAAGTTTTCTCAAAGGCGACTTTACATAATCCGATCTCCAAAAGACCTCCATTTTCACGCTTTTACTTAGCACATAGAAAAAGTGTTATTTTATTTGCACCTAATTTTTATTGTCCACTACTTCATCCTTGCATGCTATACCGCATATTCAATTCGCGCTCTGCATACATCGTTTATATTTCAAATTATTCTTTTTTATGAGAACTGGCGGCAAGTACTTCGTAGGTGTTTGTGCTACTTTATCCTTTGTTAATTATTGGCGAATCGATAAATTCACTACAGTGACAAAAAAAATGATATTACATTTTTAACTCGGGATCATGGGCTCTAATAGCGGACAGCCAGACGAAAAAAAAAAATTTGATATTAGATTTTTAGATATTTAAAATTGGAATCGTGGATTCCAATAAACGAGCAGGCAAGAGGATATGGCTAAATCTAGTTCGCTAGAATCGGTCTCGTCGCTGTTTACATCGTATTCCTATGGTTCACTTAGCGCAAATCGGTTTGATGTGCATTCTATGTGTAATTATCACACGAAAACATACGTAACTTAATAGGTAACGAAGACTCACCTAGAACTGTATCAATTTTTCCATTTAAAACACACAATATTAATTTCTATACCTTTTTTGTAGAGGTTTTCATAGAAATAAAAATCATTTAATTCAAAAAAAAAAAATGTTTTAGTAAACTTTACAACATTAATATGCAAGAAATTTAACCGGTTGATGAGTTGATGGCAATGCTTAGGTTATTTAATGAAAATATATAACGCAAAATATACAAAACACAGCGTGGGGGACTAATTATTTGCGAACTTTTCGGTAACTATTCGCTAACATTTATAAATCCCAAAAAAAATCGTAGAAGTTGCGTACGACATAAACACTCACATTAAGAATATTGAAGATAGGTAGGAAAAATGAGATAGTAAGACAGAGAAACGGAGACATTGGGAGAAGTTAGCAAAATAAGACGTTACAGGAAACGCATTGTAGGCAACGTATGCTGTTAAGGGACGCTTCAGGGGATTTTTAAATAAAAAAATAAGCTTCTTAGAGATAGGGTGTCACTGTCCCTCCCCCTTTCCCCCCCTCCCTTCCAATGTTAATTATATTATATTTTCCATATGTGGCGTAGAGAGGACAAATCAGTGAACATAGTTGTGTGGATATTTTATGTATTATTGTGTATAGTTAACGTTTTTAGTATGTTAGTAATCAAAACAAGCAACAACAAAAAGAAAAATTAAAATTTTTAGGCACCTTGAGTTAACCAGTTTATCGTTGAATGGATCACGTGGTGGACGCTTCATAATATCGGCTTCAGCAGCTTCGTAAGCCAAAGAAATAGCGGGAACCTAGTGGAAGTTTTGCATAGGCATAAAACATATATCCACCACACGCACGCACAAATTACATAAATATTAACAAATTTGTGCGAGAAAATATTTTTGTTGTTATACGGTTTTGAATACACAAATATAGATAAAGTTGTTGAAGAGTAGGAGAGCAGTTTTTTGTTTCAATTATTTTGTTTTAAAACATAAAATTATAAATAAAAAAAAAAGTGTAATTAAAAAAGAATTATAAAATAATAATAAAAATTAAAAATATATATAAAATAGAGAAGTTAAACTACCTTAATGTTTATATTAGGTTAATATTATATGAAAACACTCTGGCCTTAGTTAATTTCTAGCCTAAATTCTAGCTTTACGTTGGGACGATCTACACTTAAATTCGAAGCCATTGACTTTTCTACGAACACCCAGATAAAAGTTTTACCTTTCATTGACCAGATTATCTACATTAGGATTGCGTGGTCTACGTTTCATTATATCCGCTTCAGCTCCTTCATAGGCCAATGATATAGCTGGGACCTTGCATTATTTATTTTTTATTTTATATTATTAATATATTGTGTATATATTTTTTTTTTTTTGCAATTTTTTTTTTAAATTAAGCTTAACTTGTAAAAGACCTAAAAATCAACTAATTTTCTCACATTAGAAAATAATAAATAAAGAAACGAAATAATTTTTTAAAACTAAGAAACGAAAATTAAAAAGTATTTACTTACCATATCGGTACCCAAATCAATGCAAAGAATAGTAACTGTACCCAAAGGCAAAGGTATGTCACATAAGATGAATGCCAAAAAGGGTGAAATTTCAGGAATGTTAGATGTCAATGTATAAGCTATGGATTTCTTTAAATTATCGAAAATCAAACGGCCTTCTTCAACACCCGTTACAATTGAAGCAAAATTGTCATCTAATAAAATCATGTCTGCTGCCTATAAATACGTGTAAAATAAGAATATTCAACACAATTTTTGAAAATTTTTATTTTTTTGTTTTTTTTTTCATACCTGTTTGGATACATCCGATCCAGCAATTCCCATAGCAACACCAATATCAGCTTTTTTCAACGCTGGCGAATCATTGACACCATCACCCGTTACTGCGACAATGGCACCCATGCGCTGGCAACCCTCTACAATAATAAGCTTCTGTTGAGGTGATGTACGCGCGAATACAATTTCAGTGTGGTAACGTAAAATTTCATCTAGTTGATCAGAGCTAACATCACGCAATTCAGCACCGTGCACTACGGCAGCCTTAGCTTCGCGAGGATTGACTTCCGATACGGGAATATTTAAACGTTGGGCAATGTCTTCTACCGTTTCGTTACCTTCCGAAATAATACCGACCGATTTGGCAATAGCTTTGGCAGTAATAGGATGATCACCGGTTACCATAATAACCTTAATACCAGCTGAACGACATTTGGCTACAGCGTCGGGCACAGCAGCTCGGGGAGGATCAATCATGGACATAAGACCGACAAAACGTAAATTATCAATAGGAAAATTCACATCGTCAGTGTTGAACTTGAATCCCGTTGGGTATTTATCAGAGGGCAGCATGAAATCACAGAAACCCAACACGCGTTCTCCTAAACCGCCAAGTTCCATGTAGGCATTATTGAAAGCCTCCTTCATTTCTTCGTCCAATACCTTTTCTTTACCATTGATAAATATGGTAGAACAGCGTTCTAAAATTCGTTCGGGTGCACCTTTCATGACAAGTAAGTAACGTGGATCTGAGGGATCTTCAGTTTCATGTATGGACACTTGATATTTGTTAGTGGAGTTGAAAGGAATTTCTGCAATTTTTTTATTACGTTTGCGAATGCTCATTACGTCACCCAAAGCCAATTCCATACACTTAAGGAGCGCAGCCTCTGATGCGTCCCCACTGACCTCTTTTTTCAAAATGGGAACACCTTCCTGACCACCTTTGAATTCAGCACGGTTACAGAGGGTGGCAATACGAGACAACGCCTTAAATCCAGGGCTAGTTCTATCGTATTGAACACCCGATTGATCTTCTGTAGTATCAGCTTCAATAATCTGATTATCAAACCACATATGAGCGACAGTCATGCGATTTTGTGTCAGTGTTCCGGTCTTATCTGAGCAAATAGTTGAAGTGGAGCCCAAAGTTTCAACAGCCTCTAAATTTTTTACTAAACAATTTTTTGAAGCCATACGTTTGGCTGTGAGTGTTAAGCACACAGTGACGGTAGCCAAAAGACCCTCAGGTACATTAGCAACAATAATACCTATCAAAAAGATAACAGCGTCCAACCAGTGATAGCCCAAAATGAAAGCAATTACGAAGAATGTAACACCCAAGAATACAGCCACACCGGTAATTAAATGGATAAAATGATGGATTTCCTTAGCAATAGGCGTTTCACCAGTATCCAAACCGGATGCCAGACCCGCAATACGCCCCATTACAGTATGATCACCACAACTAATAACAACACCCTTAGCTGTACCTTCCACGGCATTAGTTGAGAAGAAAGCTAGATTCTTTGTTTCCAAAGGATTTTCATGCGTGAATTCAGGTCCACGAGATTGTGGTTCAGATTCACCCGTCAGTGATGAATTATCTACTTTAAAGTTCCGGGCTTCAATTATACGTATGTCGGCTGGTATACGATCACCAAATTTCACTTCAACCACGTCACCGAGCACCAAATCTTCGGCACGCAATGTTAATTTCTCTCCCTCACGTATAACAGTAGCGAATTGAGGAACCATATTCTTGAAAGATTCCATAATTTTTGAACTTTTCGATTCCTAGAAGAGAACAAAATCACAGATTGTTATTATTAAAAATTGAAAACGAAATTAAATGGATCATATTTATAATTTGCTCTTTTGTAGGACAGCGACGTGAAAAATACAATTCAGAATTATACTTATCTTCAGATCCCTTTTTTTAAATTTTAATGAAAAATTTTGAACGCAATTTTTTGCTTATTTTCTCGTTTTAAATGCTGACAGTATTAGATAATATTTAGTCTAATTTTGTAAACCTAATATCCTCGTAATGTTTAAGCAAAGCAATAATTAAATATGAGAAAAATAGGACTTAATAAAAATTGCATTTACCTGATAGTATGAGAAGATACCGGTAACTATAACTACAGCGGAAAGTACAATACCCAGATACAAATTGTCATCTGATGGCTCTTCGCTGGTACTGGCCTGAATCGAATAGGCCACAAAGCACAATATCGCACCAATCCACAATAGCATAGCGAAGCCACCAAATAAATTCTTACAGAATTTCACCCATTCGGGTGTTTGTTTTGGTGGTGTTAGAGCATTAGGACCATCGCGTTCTAAATTCTCTTTAGCTTTAGCGTGACTTAGACCCTAGAAAAAAAAAAGGAGAAACAATCATAAACAACAAAACGACAATTTGAAACAAAAATATTTATATTGAAATAAAAAAAAATTAAATTTGCATTTTTTTTGTTTTTAAACTTACATTTTCAGGATGTGTCTGAAAGCGCTGATACAATTCCTCAGGAGTGATTTTGTGATAATCAATATCCAACTCCTGTTTGAGATCATCTAAATTCTCCTTTTTCGCTGCTTTACTCGGCATTTTGCGTTTTGACTGTGAACATTTTTATTATAAATTATGAAATTAAAAGTTAATAATTTAATAAAGAAAAAAAACGTAAATGAGTTTCAAAAACCAAAAAAAGAAAAAAAATGTTGCCACAAACTTATGTCCTTTATACACAAACCCCACTTTACTTATACTTCATGCCAGTTGTACGTAAATTTTTTTTTTTAATAACATTCAAAGAGTCTATATAGAGTTGCTGTTAGTGTTTTTTTATTTTTATTATTATTAGTACTTAATTTTGTTGCGCCATTGATAAATGTAGCGTTTTTTAACGTTACATAAAATTTTTTTAGTTTTATTTATTTATTTATTTTTTTTGTTTAGGTTATTTTATTTTTTTTGTTTGTTATTACAATGATCCATATTACAAACCATACCGACCGGCTATAGATTTCAGTGCACATATTTCTTTTGTTAATTTACATTTACATGAGAGATAATATGCAAAATAAATATATAACAGAAATGTAAAAGTTTCATATAACAAACAATACCTGGAATAAGTTATTCGTTTATATCACTGAACACTACTGAAAATTGAAATTTATATTTATTGCTACTTTGTTGATAACAGAAGTCATAAAATAAAATGCGCTAAGAATAATTAGAAGCACACGAATAAAAAGACGAAGAAAAATAAAAAAGCAATAGCAAATAAAGTCGAAAAACTTACCCATTTTGAACAATTATTACCCGTTTAGTTTTTTAAAAAATTCATTATGTTTGGTAAAGTAAACAGTATATGAAGTAAAAATAAATATATGAAGAGAGTGCTATTATAATGGAATAAGAAACCTTTTAATAAAAATTCTACATTTAGGTCACGAATTAAATCTAACCTGATTGCTATTACAATTTTCGTAAGTTAGGAAATATATTTAATTTTTAGGCTACTGCGGCAGAGCCTGAAAATTCTCTCAAATAAATAGCCAATCAAATGACCAATATATACAATATACGTACATAATTGCAACTATTACGTCGCCGCTCGCGGATTCGATTTTCAGAATCATTGATTATACTTTAATTACGATTGATATCTGGCTGGAGCTATAGTGAAAATACGATCGATACGGTCATAATATTTACCGATCGGAAATATACATCCTTTCTTGTCACCACTTTCCCCGCTTATTTTTCCCTGAGCACTATTGTGTTAAGTGAGTGACTGCTCATCATTCAAAAAAAAGAAAAGATAAACAGATTCTATTCTATTTTTAATGACCAGGATTTAGTCTAATGATACATTTACCTTAGAACTATGGCATATACTAAAATTTATTTAAAAAGCTTGTAAGTGAATGGAAATTAAAATCGGTCTAGGACGACGAAATACCCGAATTTCTCAAACCATGAAACCAATTTTAATAGCATCTTTCACACGCTTGTTGGGCCGAAGTATAAATATGTACTTCATCGCTACATTACCATAAATAACTTTAATAATGAATTTTCCTTGCAAGAATTAACAACTGCATGCTGCTTATGAAGTGTGCTGTTCAAAGCAAACATTTACATGCCAGAAAGTGCTCTGAACATTACGAATAGGCAGAAAAGCAGATATTTGTGTTGCACTGAACATTTTAATACCAATAAGTACATTCAAATATTAATTTTATTGCGATTTGACAAAGCCTTTTAAGTAATTGTAGAAATTGAAAGTCACACATAAGCAGCGCTTGCAATTATAAGCCAATCCTGGTTGTATCTAAGTCGATTTTCAAGCATAGTACAAATATTTTATGGCGAAAATATCTAAAGGCGAAACCTGACTTTTCATTTTTTCGACTACCTTCTTAGATTATCTTCAAAATTTGTATAAATGATCTTTTTCTCCGTTAGATTTGAACTAAGCTTGGTATTGCAAATAAGAATAAAACTCGAACGAAAAAAGATTCAATTCTGATACTTCAATTCATATAGTTCCGGTGCTATTTAAAGAAAATTTGCGTAGGAAAATTTTAAAATCTTCATTTTTTTATCTTTATTTTCCCGACCGAGTAAAATCGACCTGGTCTGTTTTACTTGGATGTAAGCAATATGACAACTAAATAATTCGTTTTTTCCAATTTTCCGATTCAATCTGAACTTATGCCGATAAACTTGGGACGAGCTAGGCGAGAGGAATTATGACTGGAGAGAGGGAAGACAAAAAGAGTAGCATATAAGCGTTGCAAGATTTCCGCACTTTAAGTACATCTGAGGCTTAGCTATCGGTGGGGAGAAAAAAAGCATTTTTCTTATGCCACAAGTTTATTAAAATTTCGCAAAATGGTGATTGAAACCGGACTTTAACAATTAGAACAGCCTTCTTAGTTTAGTAAAAAAATAAAAGAAAGCAGAAGGAAAAAATAATATGTTGAGAATCTCCGAAGATTTTATGCACGCTGTTGGGTGAGCAGCGATTGAAAAACTTCCCGATTGTGCTAAGCGGAATGAAAAACGTAACATATCTCCATTTTTGATGGTGGTGGGTATAAAAATGGTGCAACTTCGCCTGATAAACGTGAGTATATGTAAAATTGTTACTACTCACTGTAGTAGCTAGAAAATTGATTAGAAAACCTTTTCTCTGCAAAAAAAAAAAAAACAGCAGAAAATGTCACGTTTCAGAGAAAAAGAAAAAAAACACAAAAAATAGATGAAGCAAAAAAGAAAAAACAAAATTATAAGAATTCTTTTTAACAACGTAACACTTGATCATGAATGAATTGATTGTGCATTTTTTTTTTTTTTTTTTAAATAAATGTGATTAATTTAGTAATTCAGTATTTCAAATTGCATTTTACACGTCATTGTTTATAAAAATAGTTTCTATAGGAAAGGTAAACAAAATGAATTTAAACAATCCTTTTAAGAAAAACCATCACAAATAAATATATTAAGAAAATTAGAGACTTTTTTAAATATATTGTAAAGAGTAAAAAAATTTTTAAATTTACAACTCAAATATATATGCCAACAATACCATATGTACCCCATGCCAAATATTAAAATATAGTTTAAAAAAAATGTTTAAGAAAATTGAAATAATAGGTAAACGCCATATAACTTTTATAGCAAATCGATATAACGACGAAAGGTTGGATGGGTCGAGAGAGATCAAATAGAAGAATATAGAAAATTATTTTTCCTTCGTTTCTTAAGTAATATTAGAAATGTTCTGTGTAACCGTAGATAATATTATGATAGTTAAACATTTCCCCATCCCTTAAAGTATCGTAAAAAAAGCACGCAATTCTCCATTTCTTTGCACGTTTCGAAGCAATAATTTTTCAAATTTCTCATTTTGCAGCATAAATCGCAACAAATGCAGAAGACCACAAGATAGATCGATTACAGCCATTTTGAAACTAAAGGGATCAAGTCTACTATTAACAGTTACAAATAAATGAAATCCGATAATGACGCAAGTGGGCGAATGCCTTAAATTGTATAATTTCCGAATACTAAGCATAATTTATGGTAAATTATCTTTGCAAGTGATATTAATAGTAAGTTAAAACAGCTATCAGGTCTACAAATTTGAGATGAGACGATTTGAAAAACAAATAGTAAATACTTTAACTGGAAATGGGTTCACTCTGTGTTATACCGATCGAATCTGGTCTGTTCCCCAGTCCGTTTTGTTTTCTTGTGTTCCATCTACAGGCCGCAATTGTTAAAATATTTTGATAAAATTTGATATAGTGACGTGTATTGGCCCAAGGACGAACGCTATTAGAAATGCTTTAAATGGAACCACTTTTTCCACCACTGACTAACTGTATGGAAGTATACGGCATTTGATGGTAGTGTTTTAGTTGCTTTTTCTTTTTTTATGGTTCGGGCATGCGGCAACAATTAGTCGTAATAATGAATGATATAAGAGGACTACGCGGCTTTTTGGTCTTCTTTTTACTTTCTTTTTGCAGCCTGCTTTTTTCAAATGATTCCAAACTGTCATATCGCTTTTTTATAATAAAAAGATATCAAATAGCGTATTTTTTCAGATATTTTACTCATTTTCAATGCAACTTTTTACACGAGCAAAGAATCAAAAAACTATCCGGACAAAAAATATAAGCTTAAATATCACCTTTTAAGCACACGCTCGCTTTAGATAATCGGGTAATCTAGTTGCCCGATATATACGCATCAACACTGTCTATTGGTAAAAAACCGCCGCGATCTTTTATATCACCAACTAATAACACATGTCCTAATTGTTTTTTTGACAAAGAAGAGGACCGCGGATAGCATTCATTCTTTGCTCAAACGATACGAAAGCAAGTTGCTTTTACGTCGCATCGCTACTGCGAATGTTAATTGATTTTACGTTGAGAATCCCAGATGCAAAAATTTATAGGTCCAGATGTAGCATCGACATCTATCGCAAGACCGAAATGCTATGCCAAGAGGACCTTCCTCTGTCTCTGAAAGAGAAATATAGTCTGTTAAAACGTGCTACCAATAGCAATTAATCTTTCTCCCCGTCCATTCATTTATATGGCTAAATTGGTTCGTGGTACATTGCAAGCGCTCAGTTGGAAGGTGCTAACTCACATGGTTTGCTCACCCCGCTCAAGTCCCTTCGATTAACACTTGTTTACAAGCATTGTTTTGTCGACAGGGACGCGAAAAAGACCATTCGACAAATGATTCACGATCCATAAACAAATGAATAAATGGGAAAAATGAAACCTAGCGATGGGCAATATTCGAAATAATGTATTTTTTATCATTTTCGCATACAACAAAAATATATTTTCTATAACGAAAATTCTGGTTTCATACGTCCATTCTTACACGACTGAGCTGCGCGCTCGTTAAGTATAAACCGAATTAATCTCGATATTAAGGTTGCCTCTTAATTTACTATAGAATATGTCCTCCTTTATCCTGACCTTTATCATGCCCACCTGAAAAACTTTCGTAATGTAAAAGAATGATTTTAAAAGATTTTAAAATTTTATTACGAAATAACATCAAAAATAAACATATCAAGCCATTACCGTATTTGCCCTAATAGCAAACGGGGGGATGGCTAGCCGAAAAAGGTCCATCCAAACTGTTTTGGAGCTTCACGTTGATCATAAATATTTATGCGTTAAAGATAACCAAATTTTTTCTAGATATATCTGACTGTACGAAGTATGTTTGAGGGCGCCTAATTTCATATTTTTTTGATATAACTTTTAGATTTTCAAAGACTCGTAGACAGACAAAAGGATATAGAGAAATTAAAAATTCAGAATCTTGTTCTAAACAAAGATATCCTTACTTTACGGATTTTTATGTCTTATAATGTTTTTGTATGCGGCTGATTGAATATGAAAGATATTGATGGATTTTCTATAGCATTCGAACTCCCGCCAGAAATGTAGTGCTTACTTTTTATAACTTGTTTAGCAACTTTCAGAGTTGAAGTATTACTATACTAAAATATACTGGCTATGGCTAAATCGATTCAAAATTAATCTAATGTAAAGTGGTAAGTAATCCGTACCGTGACCTAAAAAGGTCTATTGTACTCGCTCGTGCCCCTAGCTCAGCAGCTGTAGAGTCCTTACGAATCCCGCCAACCTCTTAGCTTCGGAGGGTCAAACGGTCAAGTTTTCCCCAAAATACCTGTTTTCTGATTCTACAGATGGCCGCACAGACGCACAAGACAAAATGGGACTTTTACTTCGGCCCATCGTAAAATTTGCTTGAGTCAGTATCTGAGACACCCACATTTTTTCAGATGGTAATTGAGAGATTTACAAGAACTGTACGAGACATACGACGGTACTTCGTAGTTCCAATATCTTATGTGCTAAGACCGGGTATGCATTTAAAGTTTATATATATTTCTGAGCACCGCATAAGGACTAAAATATTACGTTGATTGATTTTACAAAAATATGCGTTATTAAGCGTTTACCTATTAACTAGTAATTATTTATTTACAAAAAATTGTAACCACTAAATTATGTATACGTATCTAAATAAAACTCTTGCACACATAGTTATACGAATACAAAATAGATGCGATAGAGGGGAACAAAAACAATAACAAAAAAAGGATAAAAATAAAAAGACATTCGTTTCATATTTACCTTGTAATGGCCATCGGCTGTAAGATTGTCGTCATCGGTTGGTATAACCGTGGCGACACGATAAGAATCTTGCCTCCCATGCTACATACATTTTTTTTTTTTTTTTTTTTTTTTGTTTTCACATAATTCCATTTTTTGTTTTTTGATTTTTTTATTTATTTTTAACAAAAAATTGATGTTTGTATGCAGTTGATGTTGGAATGGACGGATATATAATATGCATTTATGTACGTATGTTGGGATTGTTGTTGTTGTTGTTGATAATGATGATGATGATGATTATATTGGTGATGTTATTATGTACACAATAATATGAACGGAGGAGAACACAAACGGTGTGTAAGCGAACAGAAAAAGTAAACACGAACGAGAGCAGGCGATCACACGCATAGCATAGCGTACGCAATAACGCAACAAATGAAGTAAAAAAAACGTAATGCAAATATATATGAAAAGAAGAAAAAAAAAAGAAAAAAAAATATTTTATAAAAAAAATTTGTAATAAAGAAATATATAAAAAATTTTTAGAAAAAATGATTTACTACGTAAAGAGAAAGAAAGTATATTAAAATACTTACTATACTTAATATTCTCGAAGAATGATAATAAAAACAAAAATAATAATAAAAACGTGAATAATAATATTAGTGCGTACAATAAAATAGACTTTTTTTTATCTGTTTAAGCATAACCTAGTTAATGTTTATAGTAGGAAATCGAGTTTGAATTATTTCAAATCCATTAGGGAGGGAGAAAAAAAAAATTCTTTTATCTCTATGTTGCCTTCAGACTTAAGCAACCATTATTTTTTATATCATTATAATTGTGGTGGTTTCATAAGAAGTGAATTAATTTAAATTAGATATATGTTCAAAGTATTAGGCTATTAAGAAATTGCTCAGGGTAAATAGTATAAAGAATTTATCATTATAATGGGGGTTTGGTTTTTTCTCATTTCCCATAAGGGAATTTTAAGAGGTATGAAGGAAGAATGTATAGGTTTACGAATTTTTTGGAAGGATAAATCAAATATATCTTGATTCTTCAGTTAGATTATTTACCATTCAAATAAAGCGCTAACGCGCTAGCTTGAGCAAATTATACTGGGTTACGGATTGAAGCGTACGCTGGCTTTGTAATTTGGATGGTTCAGTTGCCAAATCGGTTAACTCCATAAAACAAGAAGTTGAGAAAAACTATAAAATATTATATGTTGCTTTTTTGGAATTATGTTCCAATTAAAAATTAAAAAACACCGTGTAGACTGTATTATTGCAAACGCCTATTTAATTTAACGACATCTAGAAAGTATAAGATGGAATATACTTGGAGTAATTGTTATTATTACTAAAATATTTTTGTGATTTGGGGGAGTTAACCGATTTGGCAACTGAAAGAAAGTTATTAGTTCAAATTCAGTCTTTGAATTATTCTTTTGTTACGGAAAAGTGTCATTATATAAACACATGTTTTATCAAAGAGTTTCAGAATTTCAAGAAGCCCATCATATCTCTCCTCTTTTCTCTTGTCACTGTTCTATCTGTTGGATGCAACAAAGGCTGGATCACGTTTTCCAGACATAGTGGTCTACCTGCTACACTTTTTCGTATGTTTGTGGCACTAAATTCGGTATCTTCGTGAAAGTCATAGTTATATTTTATCAGATGGGGTTTCGACTTTTCTAATTTTATCCAGTGCATACCCCTGTAACTAATACCTTTCTATTATTGATAGAATTTTCTAAAGTGCTTGTAGAGAAAAAGTCCTGATGCGTCATGTGAACCCTATGAAACGGAGCTTTCTTCTTACAGGTTTTTATTATATTACACCAATTATCTGGCGAAAAGATATTCTGAACTTTTTCTGCTTGAGATTCGATGATAGCAAATTGTGAATCATTAGGCAAGTAACTATGTCCACTCTCCAGGAATTTCATTCCAGTTGATTCAGCTTATATTTTTGTACTTTGAAGCAATTTCAATAAACTTAAAACAGTTTCAATATTTCTATTTTGTCCCGTGCATGAGTCTGATTCGGTAATTATTTTTTTTTTTATAGTTTTTAGCACAAATCTTAATATACATGATGATATAAATACATTATAGTATGGAGTTAATCAGAATGGCTTCTGAAAATAATTATTTATTATTCAATGGCCAAAATGATTTTGTCATTTAGTGGTATTAATTCTTATTATTAGAGAAATCCGTTTTGAATATGTATGGTTAGGATCTAATGAAGTGCTTTGATATTCGAATTTAATAAAATCCCAAAAATGGAGTTAACCGATTTGATAACTGAACCATCCATTTATCTGTTTTGAAATTGCAAAAAATTTCACGGGATCAATTGGCCTTCTTAAAAGTAAAAGTTAGATACATGTAAAAGCTCTCAGCAAATCCTTTCAGGAGTCCAATAAGTGGATTTGGTCGCAGCGTTTTTTTTGGTACATTTTTGAACAAAAATTTTCTTTCTTGAAAACCAATTTTAATCAAGTACATATTCACCATTATTATCTTTGACATTTTGCCATTTTTCGGGTAGTTTCATAATTCCATTGATGTAGAACTTAGCCGATGTATCGTCAAAAAACTTGGAAAATTTTTACCGTCAACAGAATTTTTCAGAGGCGGACACAAGTAATTGTTAGACAGTGCAAGGTCCGAATGCATCACACCTTCTCAACCAAATTCAGCCAATTTTTCCGAGCCATGAAAGATATGTGTGGATGCGCATTTTCATGATGATCACCAGCCTGAGCGCCATGAGGGTCACTAGCATTTAACCATGATCGCTTGGGTTTGATATTTTAATACTTTACCCATTTTTCATCGTCTATAAAAATGGTTCGATTTGGTAATTAGATCAATCAAATTTCTTTTCGGTAATTCATCAGGCACCCAAGCATCGAGCTGCAGCCTTACACAAAAAACCAACGAAAGATCGCTTACGGACATTTTGAAGCTAAAGGGATCAAGTCTACTATTAACAGCTACAAGAAAATGAATCCCATAATGACGCAAGTGAGCGAATTTCCTAATGCTAAGCATTATTTATGGTAATTTATCTTTGCAAGTGATATTAATAGTAAGTTAAAGCAATTATCAGGTCTACAAATTTGAGATATGACAATTTGAAAAACAAATAGTAAATGGATTCACTCTGTATTATACCGATCGACTCTGGTCTGTTCCCCAGTCCGTCTTGCTTTCTTGTATTCAATCTACAGGCCACAATTCTTGAAATATAATATTTTCATAAAATTATTATATTGACATGTTTTGGCCCAACGACGAAAGCTATTAAAAATGCTTTAGAACTCACTTTCCCGACCACTGAATAAATGTACGGAAGTGGATAGCATTTGATGGTAAAGCTTGGCTCACTATAGTGGGTCTACGTTTTTTTTATGGTTCGGGCATGTGGCAACAATGATCAGTCGTAATAATGGGTGATATAAAAGGACTTCGCGGATGTTTGGTCTTCTTTTTAGTTTCTTTGTGTAGCCTACGCTTTTCAAATGATTCCAAACTGTCATATGGCCTATCTTTACTGTCTTCGCTACTTCCTGGCAGCTTGCATACCGGTCTTGCCTCACCAGTTCAGAAATTTCATCGACTATTTCAGTGACCGGCCAACCATCGCGAGGTGCATTTTTGACATCGAAATTTCTGGAACGGAATCGCGCAAACCACTCTTGAGTCCTTCGCTCATAGCACTCTCACCGTCCACTTTACAAACTTTTCGGAGTGTTTTTGCACCGTTTTTTACTTTTTTGTAGTTAAAAAGCATCACATAGCGTATTTCTTCAGATATTTCATTCATTTTCAACACAATTTTCCTTTTTACAAGCAAAAGGCGAAACATGTCGAATGACAATTGAAGAGAAGCCAAAAAAAAGATCCGCCTGAGTGGCCGAGTAGGCAAGATTCTCGACTAGCAACCCAATGGTCGTGGGTTCAAATCTCAAGTGCGGTAGAGTTTTTAATAAAGCCGAAAGCCTTAGATGCTGGTGCTTTAAGACTTTAGTCTTAGAAGTTATTCTCTGGCTAAATTTATAATAATAATAATAATAATAGATAAGCAAAGAATTAGAAAACTATCTCCACCAAAAATGTAAGCTGATATATCGCCTTTTAAGTACATGATTGTTTGAGACAATCAGGCGTGTTTTGCCAGGTATATAAGCATCAACACCACCTAGTGTCAAAGACCGCGAACACTTTTTATATGGCCCAATATAGCGTGGTTTACAAGAGAGGGAAAATGCTAATGAATGACACAATTTTTATCCTCCATATCGTAGGGAATATTAATTTAATGCGTAGATATGCCACACCGACAACGGTACGAGATAAACCAGCCTTTTGCACTCGAATTGAAATAGCGCACAGAATGGCACCTGAGAATCGCCTTTTGAGTACAGAAGGGGGTTAAACTATTACTACGTATTACGATTTCCAAACCAGAAATTTTCCAACTGATCCGATATGATTATACCGCTCAAGCATCGGCATTCTCTTTCTGTGATCACAGGTGCTATATAATCATAGAATAGAATGGAATCAAGATATGATGATACTGATTTCACAATTTGTATTCCAATGTCGTCTATATGTCGATCGAGTATGTCTTCCATCAGTCTATACGTCGGCCTAATATTTCTTCCCTCAACTTCTATGTCGGACTTGAGTTGATATTTTATTAGTTGAAATTATTGATTGAGGAATTGGTGGTAAAAAAAAACGAATTACATTATCATAAATGTTGTAACTTTTGTAATGCCAACGAAGAAACGTTAAAGCGGTATGTCTTGTACGAAGCTACATTTTACCGGAATTAAAAAAACAGATTTTTTTAATATGATTTAGCAAAAAGCAAAATGTACTATGGAAAAGCATATTGAGGCCAAAGGAAAAAAAAAAAGAAATAGATTAAGCCGAGAAAATTTACAAACTTTAATTAAATGTTGTACATATCGATTAAATAGCTATTAAGCTTTTGCTTCAGAATCCTCTATTCATTTAATTTACCCGAATCTTAAGCGGTATTTGCTATCGTTTTTCCAATAACAAGAGCCA